ATAAATGCCACAAAGCCCTCTTACCCTTTATCTAAATACTGTTCATTATATGTTTCACTGTAAACACCTGGTCCACACACCCCCTACCTTTCTAAAGCCCCTTGTTCATCTGCTATCCTATTCTCCGTCTTACTCTTAATTCTTTCAATTATAACTCTACCATACACTTTACCAGGTACACTCAACAGACTTATCCCCCTTTTAATTTTTGCACTCTCTTTTATCCCCTTTGCCTTTATACAAAGGAACTATGCATGCTCTCTGCCAATCCTAGGTACCTTACCCTCTTCCATACATTTATTAAATAATTGCACCAACCACTCCAAAACTATATCCCCACCTGCTTTTAACATTTCCTATCTTTATCCCATCAATCCCGGCTGCCTTACTCCCTTTCCATTTTACCTACTGCCTCACGAACTTCCCCCACACTCACACTGGCTCTTCCTCACTCCTACAAGATGTTATTCCTCCTTGCCCTATACACGAAATCACAGCTTCCCTATCTTCATCAACATTAACAATTCCTCAAAATATTCCTTCCATCTTCCCAATACCTCTAACTCTCCATTTAATAACTCTCCTCTCCTATTTTTAACTGACAAATCCATTTGTTCTCTAGGCTTTCTTAACTTGTTAATCTCACTCCAAAACTTTTTCTTATTTTCAAAAAAAATTTGTTGATAACATCTCACCCACTCTCTCATTTGCTCTTTTTTTTACATTGTTTCACAACTCCTTAACTTCTCTCTTTTTCCTCCATATACTCTTCCCTCCTTGCATCACTTCTACTTTGTAAAAACTTCTCAAAAGCTAACTTTTTCTCCCTTACTACTCTCTCTACATCATCATTCCCCCAATCGCTCCTTTTCCCTCCTGCACCCACTTTCCTGTAACCACAAACTTCTGCTGAACACTCTAACACTACATTTTTAAACCTACCCATACCTCTTCGACCCCATTGCCTATGCTCTCATTAGCCCATCTATCCTCCAATAGCTGTTTATATCTTACCCTAACTGCCTCCTCTTTTAGTTTATAAACCTTTACCTCTCTTTTCCCTGATGCTTCTATTCTCCTTGTATCCCATCTACCTTTTTACTCTCAGTGTAGCTACAACTAGAAAGTGATCTGATATATCTGTGGCCCCTCTATAAACATGTACATCCTGAAGTCTAACTCAACAGCCCTTTTCTACCAATACATAATCCAACAAACTACTGTCATTTCGCCCTACACAAATCGTGTATACTTATTTATCCTCTTTTCTTAAAATATGTTTTACCTATAACAAAAACCCCTTTCTAACAAAGTTCAATCAAAGGGCTCCCATTATCATTTACACTGGCACCCCAAATTTACCTACCACACCCTCTCTAAAAGTTTCTCCTACTTTAGCATTCAAGTCCCCCTACCACAATTACCTCTCACTTGGTTCAAAGGCTCCTATACATTCACTTAACATCTCCCAAAATCTCTCTCTCTCCTAATACATAACATAAATAATACATAATAATAATAATACATAATAATAATAATACATAATAATAATAATACATAATAATAATAAAAGGTAATAAAAATAATATGTAATAATAAATGTTCACCCATGACAAACAAGATAAGGGGAGATAACATCTGATAAGTGCTGACGTTTTGATGAGGGTAAATGGGGGTAAGCTGAGCCAAAAGATAAGATGAACATCGCCTCCCTTTTTTTTGCTGGTAATAAACATTTCTGTCTGTCTTTTTTGCCTGTCTGTCAAGCTCCCTGTCTATCCATCTAGCTCTCTGTCCCCAGAGAGCCACAAGACTGCGTCATCACTTTTACTCACATCTTCAAGCAGAGTATAGCACTTTGTCGGGGTTTCTTGGGTTTATCCTAGGTAATTTATACTATGTATACTTGTATTTATGTGTACCTGTGAGACAGAGATAGACAGACAGATAGAATAGGGAAAAAGATAATTAGATAGAAGGGAGGAGGGGAAGCGCATCCGACCCCATTGTTTGACAGGCCGGAGGGGGAAAGAGTAATGAGCCAATATGTCACTTTGACAGCTGCTGACTCCTTGTAATTTACACTATGGACGAGGAGGGGAAGGGGTAGGGGGAAGAGGAAAGAAGGGGGAGGAGGAGGAAGAGGAGGAGAAGGAAAGGAAGAGTAGAGGAAGAGGAATAAGAGGAAGAGGAGGGGGAAGAGGAATAGTAGGGGGAAGATTAGGGGGAAGAGGAAGAAGAGGGGGGGAGGAAGAAGAGGAAGAGGAAAAAGGGGGAAGGGGGAAGAAGAGGAGGAAGAGGAAGAGAGGAAGAGGAAAGAGTAAAAAGGGGAAAGAGGAGGAAGAGTAGGGGGAAGAGGAGGAAGAGGAAGAAGAGGAGGAGGAGGGTGGAACACTTTGTACACTGGGACTGTTTCACTAAATTTCTGTCGTCTATTTTATGTCTGTCAAGCTCCCTGTCTATCTGTCTATCCGTCTAGCTCTCTGTCTCAGAGAGCCACAAGACTGTGTCATCACTTTTACTCACATCTTCAAGCAGAAATATACACTTGGGCTGGATTTCTTGGGTTATCCTAGGTAATTTATACTATGTATACTTGTTTATGTGTACCTGTGAGACAGAGATAGACAGACAGATAAAAGAGAGAGACAGATTGAAAGAGAATGAATGAGGGAGAAAGATAAAACACCCTTGTGTATGACACCATGTTTCAGATTTCCACAAGCTGCATAACTAATGGAATATGTTCAGTGACTGTATATGGGATATATATTTAAAAACAATAATAATAAACAATGTTTTGTATTGTTTGTTTTTGTAAACAAGTTTTGTAAACAATATATTGATAATTTTTGTTTGTGTGCTTATTGTGTTGTATACAACGAGTGGTATATATGTACATTGCACCTTTTCTTTGGTCTCCCAGGCCACGTAAGTTAGTGAAAAAATAAAATAGTGAAAAAAACAACAAACCTTCAAATACAAGTAAACTAAAGTTTACCGGGTGAGCGGCAGTCACCGCTGTTGCCATACGCGGCTCATTTTCTGCAAACTTCATGCATCCATATCTCCGTAAGTATTGATGGTAAATTTTTTTTGTTTATCCTATAATGTTAGAAAAAAAAAACTATTTTTTCATAAGAAAAAATAATTTTTTTTTTTTGAAATTTGGCCGACCCTGAGAACGAGTTTCGGAGAGGGCCTGTCGACCCTCAAAGGGTTAAAGTGCAGGCATTGTACTTCCCATTTCCAGGACTCAAGTCCGACTATATGAAAATAACCGGTTTCCCTGAATCCCTTCACTAAATATTACCCTGCTCACACTCCAACAGATCGTCAGGTCCCAAGTACCATCGTCTCCATTCACTCCTATCTAACACGCTCACGCACGCTTGCTGGAAGTCCAAGCCCCTCGCCCACAAAACCTCCTTTACCCCCTCTCTCCAACCCTTTCAAGGACGACCCCTACCCCCTTCCTTCCCCTATAGATTTATATGCTTTCCATGTCAAATTTTACTTTGGGTCCATTCTCTCTAAATAACCAAACCACCTCAACAACCCCTCTTCTGCCCTCTGACTAATACTTTTATTAACTTCACACCTTTTCCTAATTTCCACACTCCGAATTTTCTGCATAATATTTACACCACACATTGCCCTTAAACAGGACATCTCCACCGCCTCCTCACTGCTGCATTTACCACCCAAGCTTCACACCCATATAAAGTGTTGGTACTACATACTTTCATACATTCCCTTCTTTGCCTCCATAGATAACGTTTTTTGACTCCATCATATACCCCAATGCACCACTCACCTTTTTTCCCTCATCAATTCTATGATTAACCTCATCCTTTATAAATCCATCCGCCGACACGTCAACTCCCAAGTATCTGAAAACATTCACTTCTTCCATACTCCTCCTCCCCAATTTGATATCCAATTTTTCTTTATCTAAAAACATTTGACACCCTCATCACCTTACTCTTTTCTATGTTCACTTTCAACTTTCTACCTTTACACACATTCCCAAACTCATCCACTAACCTTTGCAATTTTTCTTTAGAATCTCCCATAAGCACAGTATCATCAGCAAAAAGTAATTGTGTCAATTCCCATTTTGAATTTGATTACACAAAATTTAATCCCACCCCTCTCGCAAACACCCTAGCATTTACTTCCTTTACAACCCCATCTATAAATATATTAAACAACCATGGTGACATTACATATCCCTGTCTAAGACCTACTTTTACTGGGAAGTAGTCTCCCTCTCTTCTACACACCCTAACCTGAGCCTCACTATCCTCATAAAAACTCTTTACAGCATTTAATAACTTACCATACTATAATACAGTGTGTGAGGAGGAAGGACAGTTTAAAAACAAGTGCAAGTTTAAAACTGAGACACATGTGCAACATCTGGGTATCTTTATTATTGATGTTTTGTCATCCAGTGGCTTTATTAGTACAAATTCTAGGACATAATCTGAAGACTGTAGAGCTATATACAGAAGATGAGGTAAAAAGTCCCTCAGCCTTGGAGTTTGTGTGAAGAGCACCGTAGTCATGAAGATTCTTGACAACTATGGTGCTGTAATAAAGTTGGTAGAATTGCCGACAATATGTAAAGTAAAAGGACACAAGTGCAACTAATGTGACATTTATTGTGGCAACGTTTCACTCTCCAGGAGCTTATGGCTTGATAAAGCTCCTGGAGAGCGAAACGTTGCCACAATAAATGTCACATTAGTTGCACTTGTGTCCTTTTACTTAACTATGGTGCTCTTCACACCAACTCCAAGGCTGAGGGACTGATTACCTCATCTTTTGTATATAGTTCTACTGTATTCAAATTATGTCCTAGAATTTGCATTGATAAAGCCACTGGATGGTGAAACATCTACAATAAAGATACCCAGATATTGCACATGTGTCTCAGTTTTCGTCTTGTTGATACTGTATACCATTCTTGTACAAGTTCAAGTTTAGTTTTGGAAAGTTTAACCAGTTTAGAATGTTCAGTGGACTGTATACAGAACTGCAGGGTAAAATAAGCCAGAATAGACAGAATACACGAGCCTTCCACTTCAACAATCAGCTAGTGAAGTTGCATCAACATCCCTTGATCCCCAACCTTCACATCACTGACCTCATCCATCAACCTCATCCCAGTAGGGCCACAGCCACCCTCTCCACTCACTTTAGGATGTTAAGCATCAACAACCCAACTTGAAGGTAAGTGACAACTACTCTACAGTATTAGTGTAACCACTTTTTAGTTAAACATAATCTTCCCTAATACAGTTTGAACCTCACTAGAGTTCGAAATTATTGTTTTTGAAACATTATGACATTCAGAAAGTTGGTTATGGCTCACTTGGAGGTCAGGAATGCAACCGCAATTTTTTCCTTATGTTTTCCACCCCATAAGTCACAAATCATTGATAGGCCTAGTCACAGACTGGGCCACAGGGGCGTTGACCCTTCGAACCCTTTCCAGGTCCAGTTAGCACAGTTTTCAGCAACATAGCCTGTGCGAATTATGATTGTCCTCTGTATATTGTTTGCATACCATATCATCTCTTTAATTGGAGTGGGAAATTTTTTATATTTAATTTAAATTTAATGTAAATAAAGTAGATTTACAGTACGTATAAATAACTCTAATGGAATTACATATAATGTTCATAAGATTTTGATTTGGCTAAAACAAGTACTGTGTCTGCTTTAGCTTAGTTTTGAATTGAGTAAGAGTGTTGCAATTTTTCAGTGTGTTTGGTAAATTATTCTGTATCTTTGGTCCTTTAATGATGTCATTAGTTTATAGATGGGGTTGTAAAAGAAGTAAATGCTAGAGTGTTCAGGAGAGGGGTGGGATTAAATTATGGGGAATCAAATACAGAATGGGAATTGACACAGTTGCTTTTTGCTGATGATACTGTGCTTATAGGAGATTCTAAAGAAAAATTGCAAAGGTTAGTGGGTGAGTTTGGGAGTGTGTGTAAAGGTAGAAAGTTGAAAGTGAACATAGAAAAGATTAAGGTGATGAGGGTATCAAATGATTTAGATAAGAAAAATTGGATATCAAATTGAGGAGGAGGAGTATGGAAGAAGTGAATGTTTTCAGATACTTGGCAGTTGACATGTTGGCAGATGGATTTATGAAGGATGAGGTTAATCATAGAATTGATGAGGGAAAAAAGGTGAGTGGTGCATTGAGGTATATGTGGAGACAAAAAACGTTATCTATGGAGGCAAAGAAGGGAATGTATGAAAGTATAGTAGTACCAACACTTATATGGGTGTGAAGCTTGGGTTGCGAATGCAGCAGTGAGGAGGCGGTTGGAGGCAGTGGAGATGTCCTGTCTAAGGACAATGTGTGGTGTAAATATTATGCAGAAAATTCGGAGTGTGGAAATTAGGAGAAGGTGTGGAGTTAATAAAAGTATTAGTCAGAGGGCTGAAGAGGGGTTGTTGAGGTGGTTTGTTCATTTAGAGAGAATGGATCAAAGTAGAATGACATGGAGAGTGTTTAAATCTGTAGGGGAAGGAAGGTGGGGTAGGGGTCATCCTCAAAAAGGTTGGAGAGAAGGGGTAAGGGAGGTTTTGTGGGCGAGGGGCTTGGACTTCCATCAGGCGTGCGTGAGTGTGTTCGATGGGAGTGAATGGAGACGAATGGTATTTGGGAACTGACGATCTGTTGGAGTGTGAACAAGGTAATATTTAGTGAAGGGATTCAGGGAAACCGTTTTTTTTTATATAGCCGGACTTGAGTCCTGGAAATGGGAAGTACAATGCCTGCACTCTAAAGGAGGGATTCGGGATATTAGCAGTTTTGAGGGATATATTGTGTATCTTTATACGTATATGCTTCTAAACTGTTGTGTTCTGAACACCTCTGCAAAAACAGTGATTATGTGTGAGTGAGGTGAAAGTGTTGAATGATGATGAAAGTATTTTCTTTTTGGGGATTTTCTTTTTGGGTCACCCTGCCTCGGTGGGAGACGGCCGACTTGTTAAAAAAAAAAAAAAAAAGTTCAGCTGGGAAGATACTCTGCTTTGCACTGTCACATGCTTTGTTCTGCTTTTCTGTCATAATTAGTTCATGCATTTTGTTCAGATGTTCTTATGCTCAGAATTCAATCAATATTCATAATGCTGTACAATAATTTTTTAATATTTTTAAGAGATCTTGTTCATAACTGAAGTTCTTACATCAAGAGTATGGCTTTATATATTTACATGTTCACAATATTAACAATTGATTTTTAGCTGTTTTTTGAGGGACATTTTATTTGAATGACTTGCTAATGTTTAAAATATTGGCAATGGGTCTTGTGCATTGGAATATTGTATACTGAATAAAGTTTAGGAAAAAGATCACATTTCTCTGAGTTGGTCTTGGGGCCCATGTTCACAATCTACATACTGTAAATGACATAAATTAGGGAATAAATACTGTAGTGATGTAAGCAAGTTTGCTGATGACTCAAAAATGGGCTGACAATTTTAGAGGAAACCATGGAGTTTAAGACTGTTGTTGTGGTCAGAAAAGTGGCAGATGCAATTCAGTATGGACAAATGCAAAAGAATTGATCTTGGACTTATAAACTAAATCATATAGCTTGTAATCAAACAGAACATGAAAAAAAAGTCTTAGGAGTCCTGGTTAGCAGGAATGTATGTCCAAGGAAATAGTTCACAAGCATTTAAAGAAAGCTAATAGACCTCTTGGTTTCATTTCAAAAATTATAATCGTCAGAAGTATGTGTACTGAATGGAAATACTGCAACTGTAAAGGAAAACATCAAGAAAAGGATGCCAAATAATGAATTTATTCCCCTGCATCAGAAATCTTTCTTATAAAGGTTGGTTAAATGGATTGAATTTGCACTCTACAGAAAAGTGTTGGAAAAGTGGGCAGAAATTATATCAGTAAAGTGCTGACATTATTTAAGGAAGGTAGAATTTGTAGCAGTAGATTGAAGTGAAATAAGTATATTCAGATTTCTAGAGAATTTAGGAAAGCAGATTTGATGATAAAGCTGTGAATGAAAGAAGCAAACTGTCAAGTAATGACATTAAATAGAATATTTTGGTTGTCCTGAAAAATAGCCGAGAGAAGTACATGAGTGGAAATGATAAGGGTATGAGTAGGACTTGAATAGAATAAGCTAGTAGGCCTTTGTTCCTGTATTCTTATGTGTACATAAAATGTGTAATAGGTAAACAGCATTTATAGTACAGGTTCTTTTAATGTTCTTGAGAAAGATAATAATGAAAAAATGCCTCATACAAATTGTTCACAGGATGAGTGGATTAAGCCTTGAAGAATATGACTTACTTGGTGATTCCAAGTATCGTGCTTATGTGGCAGCAGTTGACAAGACATTACGGAACTTTGAAAATACTAGTGAATGGGCAGACCTTATATCTACACTTGGAAAACTTAATAAGGTAATGTTACAATTGATAATTAAACAGATATGTTTATTTGGAAAGTTGCAGACTTTAGTGGATGAATGTGTAAAGGGTGGAGGGTGTGCAAAGGTAGAAAGTTGAAAATGAACATAGATAAGAGTAAGGTGATGAGGGTATCAAATGATTTAGATAAAGAAAAATTGGATATCACATTGGAGAGGAGTATGGAAGAAATGAATGTTTTGAGATATGTGGGAGTTGATGTGTCAGTGGATGGGTTTATGAAGGATGAGGTTAACCATAGAATTGACGAGGGAAAAAAGGTGAGTGGCGCATTGAGGTATATGTGGAGACAAAAAACGTTATCAGTGGAGGCAAAGAAGGGGATGTATGAAAGTATAGTGGTACCAACACTCTTATATACGTGTGAAGCCTGGGTTGTAAATGCTGCAGCGAGGGTTTGTTGGAGGCAGTGGAGATGTCCTGTCTAAGGGCAATGTGTGATGTAAATATTATGCAGAGAATTAGAAGTGTGGAAATTAGGAGAAGGTGTGGAGTTAATAAAAGTATTAGTCAGAGGGCTGAAGAGGGGTTGTTGAGGTGGTTTGGTCATTTAGAGAGAATGGATCAAAGTAGAATGACATGGAGAACATATAAATCTGTAGGGCAAGGAAGGCGGGGTAGGGGTCATCCTCAAAAAAGGTTGGAAGAAGGGCGTAAAGGAGGTTTTGTGGGTGAGGGGCTTGGACTTCCAGCAACGTGCATGAGCATGTTAGATAGGAGTGAATGGAGATGAATGGTTTTTGGGACCTGATGAGCTGTTGGAGTGTGAGCAGGGTAATATTTAGTGAAGGGATTCAGGGAAACCGGTTATTTTTATGTATCTGGACTTGAGTACTGGAAATGGGAAGTACAATGCCTGCACTTTAAAGGAGGGGTTTGGGATATTGGCAGTTTGGAGGGATATGTAATGTATCTTTATATATGCTTCTAAACTGTTGTACATATCTGGGCACCTCTGCTAAAACAGTGATTATGTATGAGTGAGGTGAAAGTGTTGAATGATGATGAAAGGATTTTCATTTTGGGGATTTTCTTTTTGGTTCACCCTGCCTAGGTGAGAGGCGGCTGACTTGTTGAAAAAAAAAAAATGTTTATTTGGTCTCTATGGGGAAGTGGAACAGAATTCTTCCTCTGTAAGCCATGCTTGTCATAAGAGGCAACTAAAATGCCAGGAGCAAGGGGGCTAGTAACCCCTTCTCCTGTATACATTACTAAAGTTAAAAAGAGAAACTTTTGTTTTTCTTTTTCGTCCACCCTGCTTCAGTGGGGTACGGCCGGTTTGTTGAAAGAAGAAGAAGAATGTTTATTTGGATTCTTATCGTTAAAACATAGAATTTATTATATTCAGTATGTTTTCCTGTAGAGAAGTTGGGTGGGAATGGTATTCAGAATGCACATTTTGGTTATTATTCAGAATACACTTCTTTTTTATGAAACAAGTTAAAGAGTACAATGTGTATATGCTTGGAGTCATTCCAGAAATTCAGTACAGTAAAACATTTACAATCCAGCATTCAGATTTCCAAAAATTCTCCAAAACTGGCAAGTTTGAAAAATATTTCCATTATGACTTCATGATATCTGGTAAACTGTGTCTCAACATGTGGAATAGCTGGTCAGCATTAATCCTCTCACTTATGGTAATTATGTTGATGGTGGATTCATAAAGCAACATACTATACATGTATTATGCTCTTCCTAAATGCAAGTGGGAAACCATGCATCAGCAATTTGTTTGCACGTGCACTGGAAAACCAGCATGGATATATGGGTTCTCTAAGGCCCATGAACCTAATATCCTGTTAAGATCCATTAGATATAGTATTGTTATTATCTGAGTCAGTAGTTTTTTGCACCTTTAGTTGTACATCAAAATTTGTTTAAGCTGAATGCATACTTTCAAAAGCTAATGATTTTTCACTTTCTATAACTTGAGATCTAGCTACCACTGAACATTTTTAGAGGCTGATTATATCTTCCATTTTGGCAGGTATTACTGTCTCACATGAAATATCCTGTAGTCCCACGAAGGATAACCATCAGCAAGCGATTAGCACAGTGCATGCATCCAGCTTTACCATCAGGAGTTCATTTGAAAGCCCTTGAAACTTATGATATAATCTTCAAATGTATGGGTACAAATCGTCTCTCACAAGAACTGTTTATATACAGTGCAGGTTAGTAGATTTGTCTTTATTTTTCATGTACAGTAGGGCCCCACTTATATGGCAGGTTAGGTTCCAGGCTACCGCCAGAAAGCAGAACGCCATTTTCTTGCACTTAGTATAAATGCCAGATAACAAGTTTACATAATAAAAAGTAAAATACACAGTGCACTCCTTACTTACCTTTAAATATTTGTAGTCTTAATGTAGGGTGAGAGGTGAGTAGTATTTATTGTAAGAGGTCAGGTGTGATAGGTATGGTAGTCAAGATGTGGTGGGTATGGCCACCCCACCCACATGTACGTATTATTCATTTAAAGTGCCATAGAGCGATAGAATGCATATATAGTACACTCATTACTTACTTTAAAATATCTGTATTCTTAATGTAGGGTGAGAGATGAGTAAACAAGATAAAATGAATAAATGAGAGACAGAGAGAGAACGAGTAAATGAGAGAGGACAGAGACGCGGAGTATGTAAACAAGCAGACAAACGCGTCTGGCTATGATTCATACACTTTCATTTCTATGTCTGTGAAGCTTATACCATAATACAAATACCCTACATTGTGTACAAGTTGTCTCCATGTTGGTACAGTAGAATAAATAAAGAACAACACTCTCCATTCTCGTGTAACACACCATTTTTAGAAGGAATGATGCTCTGAGTGAAGGCATTCAAAAGAAGTAATTTTCTACAGTTACCCCAATAATACTATTGTGTATGCATTTTCTTTGGTATTGAACTAGAGAAAATGTTATTCTTTCTGACACTCTGACAAGACAACTGGAAAAACATCTAAAGATAGATAAAGATAAAGATTTATTTCTTTGTAAAGGTTACAGTGTGTAATTACAATTTTGGTTTACTAATTACTAAGAAAGCCACTTTCATGCCGGGGCATTTCGGGCAGACTAATCCTACTACATAGTAACTACTTAAAACTATACAAGATAATAGTGGTTAACTCTATTACAGTTTTATTTAGTCTTAATACTAATGTGAGGTAGTCAGGGTGGAGGTTTATAAGAATATTAATCTTGAAGTTGCACATAATAAAAGCAATATTACAATTAATGGTTCAGGCAGTAATATTTCATGGACTGGCAGATGTTTAAAAGTCTAAAGGTCGCATAATATAACTAATTGGAAGTTGTTTTGGTTGATTTGGTTAGTATTGAGAGATAAAATGATTGTTTAGCAAAATCCTAATTATATAAGTAGTCAGGGGATCCTTTACCGGTTCCAGTAGGTAGGGAGTTACAGATCTTCGGGCCCTAAATGTTCATAGCACTTTTGCATAGTGTAAGACTGACACGAGGGATGTTGAAGAGTGACTGCGTTCTGTTGTAACTGTCAAGGAGTAGTTTAAGTGGAGAGTTTATAGTGGAATTTAATGTTCTATATATGTAGTAGACACAATAATATGAGTGTATGTCTTGTATATTTAGCAAGTTCAGGCTTTTGAAAAGTGGTGGGTTGTGCTGTCTAGCACAGGAGCTGGTAATCATCTGCACAGCAGATTTTGTTGGGTTATTAAAGGTTTAAGGTGGTTGACTGTGGTTAATCCCCAGGCACAAATACTATAGGCAAGGTAAGGATATACGTATTAAAGAATGGTATAAGGTAAGGAGTGTTGTTTGTGGTACATAGTATCGTATCTTGGGCAAGATGCCTACTGATTTGGAAATTTTCTTGGATATATGTTGGATGTGGGAATGAAATTTAAGATTACAATCAAGAAAAAAACTTAGAAATTTACCCTCAATGTGTCTTGATATAACTTGTACAGTGGACCCTCGACTAACGCTATTAATCCGTTCCTGAGAGCTCATCGTTAGTCAGAATAATCGTTAGTCAAGTTAATTTTCCCCATAAGAAATAATGGAAATCAAATTAATCCGTGCAAGACACCCAAAAGTATTGAAAAAATTTTTTATTAACACATGAAATATTAATTTTAATACACACAAACTGAAGAAGACATGCACAGTTACATGACACTTACCTTTATTGAAAATCTGGTGATGATTGATGGGATGGGAAGAGGGGAGTGTGCTGATGGTCTTAGTGTTTAGAAGGGGAATCCCCTTCCATTAGGACTTGAGGTGGCAAGTCCTTTTTCGGGGTTACTTCCCTTGTTCTTTTAATGCCACTAGGACCAGCTTGAGAGTCACTGGACCTCTGTCGCACAACATATCTGCCCATAGAGGCCTGTACCTCCCGTTCCTTTATGACATTCCTAAAGTGTTTCACAACATTGTCAGTGTCACCATTAAACACTTTTTCAGGTTTCAGTCCTTCACTGTCTATGTACTCCTTGAATTCCTGCACATATTTTTCAGCTGCTTTTTGGTCCAAACTGGCAGCCTCACCATGCCTTATCATACTATGTATGCCACTACGATTCTTAAATCTCTCAAACCAACCTTTGCTGGCCTTAAATTCACTCACATCACCACTAGTTGCTGGCGTTTTTCTAATTAAATCGTCATGCAACTTCCTAGCCTTTTCACATATGATCGCTTGAGAGATGCTATCTCCTGCTATCTGTTTTTCGTTTATCCATACCAATAACAGTCTCTCAACATCTTCTATCACTTGCGATCTCAGTTTCAAAAACATAGTTGCACCTTTGGCAAGAACAGCTTCCTTGATTGCCGTTTTCTTGGCCACAATAGTAGCGATGGTTGATTGGGGTTTTGTGTACAGCCTGGCCAGCTCGGAGACATGCACTCCACTTTCATACTTAGCAATGATCTCTTTCTTCATATCCATAGTAATTCTCACCCTTTTTGCTGTAGGGTTGGCACTAGAAGCTTTCTTGGGGCCCATGGTGACTTATTTTGCAGGTGCAATCACTAAAAAGGCTGTGATAATATGAAATGTTCCGATTGTATGCTTGGAAGCGACCGCGGTGGCTGGCTGGCTTCTAAACACTGGCCAGAAGTGGACGCGTCTCAGACTGAACGAATAGTGTTGGTCGAGTTTTTTTAGCGCTAATTGAGGCAAAATTTTTGCGTTAAAATGTATCGCTAGTCAGATTTATCGTTAATCGATGCCATCGCTGGTCGAGGGTCCACTGTATTCATGTTAATTTATTTTACCGTGGGATGTATTTTTCATGTTTATATGTTATGTAGTGTGCTTATTACGTAATTTTGAAAAAAATATCATAGCTGGATTAACCCATAAACGGTCCAAACGTATATATACGTTTTTACCGCTAGTGCCCCAAACATATATATACGTATTATTTGTCATATTCAGCATTGCCACGATAAGCCTGAGTCGCCTAGACATAAGAGAATGGGTGTGCGCACTCACTGTGCACCATATTAAAATAATTGGGGATGCCTGGGTACCATATGCTCTTTTTTTTTTTTTTTTTTTTTCAACAAGTCGGTCGTCTCCCACCGAGGCAGGGTGACCCAAAAAAAAGAAAGAAAATCCCCAAAAAGAAAATACTTTCATCATCATTCAACACTTTCACCACACTCACACATTATCACTGCTTTTGCAGAGGTGCTCAGAATATAACAGTTTAGAAGCATATACGTATAGAGATACACAACATATCCCTCCAAACTGCCAATATCCCAAACCCCTCCTTTAAAGTGCAGGCATTGTACTTCCCATTTCCAGGACTCAAGTCCGACTATATGAAAATAACCGGTTTCCCTGAATCCCTTCACTAAATATTACCCTGCTCTTTTTTCTATTAAAAAAAACTTTTTTTTTTTTTCTCAAAAAAGTTGGGGCGCTGTGGGAGAGAACATATATATACGTTTGGACCGTTTACGGGTTAATGGAAATATCTATATTAACGTAATATACAACATATGTTGCACCTCTGAGTAATTATTGCATACAGCCTCTCCTCACTTTCCGACGTACTTGTTTACCGACGACTCAGATTTACGACGGGCTCTCGAACCAGTATACATACCTGAATAATGTATATTAGAGCTGATTTTGTTTGTTCTATTTATTGCAATATACATTTATTGCAATATACATATACAGTTTTGGAGTGAGATTAACAAGTTAAGAAAGCCTAGAGAACAAATGGATTTGTCAGTTAAAAATAGGAGAGGCGAGTTATTAAATGGAGAGTTAGAGGTATTGGGAAGATGGAGGGAATATTTTGAGGAATTGTTAAATGTTGATGAAGATAGGGAAGCTGTGATTTCGTGTATAGGACAAGGAGGAATAACATCTTGGAGTGAGGAAGAGCCAGTTGTGAGTGTGGGGGAAGTTCGTGAGGCAGTAGGTAAAATGAAAGGGGGTAAGGCAGCCGGGATTGATGGGATAAAGATAGAAATGTTAAAAGCAGGTGGGGATATAGTTTTGGAGTGGTTGGTGCAGTTATTTAATAAATGTATGGAAGAGGGTAAGGTACCTAGGGATTGGCAGAGAGCATGCATAGTTCCTTTGTATAAAGGCAAAGGGGATAAAAGAGAGTGCAAAAATTATAGGGGGATAAGTCTGCTGAGTATACCTGGTAAAGTGTATGGTAGAGTTATTATTGAAAGAATTAAGAGTAAGACGGAGAATAGGATAGCAGATGAACAAGGAGGCTTTAGGAAAGGTAGGGGGTGTGTGGACCAGGTGTTTACAGTGAAACATATAAGTGAACAGTATTTAGATAAAGCTAAAGAGGTCTTTGTGGCATTTATGGATTTGGAAAAGGCATATGACAGGGTGGATAGGGGGGCAGTGTGGCAGATGTTGCAAGTGTATGGTGTGGAGGTAGGTTACTGAAAGCAGTGAAGAGTTTTTACGAGGATAGTGAGGCTCAAGTTAGAGTATGTAGGAAAGAGGGAAATTATTTCCCAGTAAAAGTAGGCCTTAGACAAGGATGTGTAATGTCACCGTGGTTGTTTAATATATTTATAGATGGGGTTGTAAGAGAAGTAAATGCGAGGGTCTTGGCAAGAGGCGTGGAGTTAAAAGATAAAGAATCACACACAAAGTGGGAGTTGTCACAGCTGCTCTTTGCTGATGAC